CACCGTGGTGATCCCGGACTGAACGCCCCGCCTGTGCTACAGCCAGCTGTCTCGCGGTGTCGAAAGTGCAACACTTCTCGTCTGCCTCGCTCACACATTCGATTCCTTCCACTACAGCGGGTCTCACGTGGCCAGACGGTTCCCCCGCTCTGCCACAGCTGCACGACTCCCGCTGAGACATCCCCCGCTCACCCACGGCTGTGCACGGCGCCGGATCCACACCGGGCTCGCTATTCGGTTCCACAGAACCGTCTACATCCGAACAACCGGTTTTTAAACAATCCGAACCTTCGTGACGAAGGATGAAAGAACCAAACGAATGTTCCCGGCCGTCTCCATTTGAGGCGAAGTCTCGGACAGCACCACTTCCCACAAATACCGAATCTTCTCCACGGTTACAACCAGACGAGGAAGGAGCGATGTCGCCGACTCTCAGAATAGAACCTTGGGTTTGGCCCATTTTGTCACTATCTTCACCATGGACAGAGACACTGGGGTCGTTTTCACCATCAGCACAGACAGAGACACTGGGGTCGCTTTCACCATCAGCACAGACAGAGACACTGGGGTCGCTTTCACCATCAGCACAGACAGAGATACTACGGCCACTTTTACCTCTATCAAAAGCAGAGTCCTGTGTGAAGGTATCACTCTGTGTGAAGGTATCACTCCGTGTGGAGGTATCACTCTGTGTGAAGGTATCACTCTGTGGGAAGGTATCACTCTGTGGGGAGGTATCACTCTGTGTGAAGGTATCACTCTGTGTGAAGGTATCACTCTGTGTGAAGGTATCACTCTGTGTGGAGGTATAAAAGTGTTGCAGCCTGTTCCACACCGCGGAGACTAATGCCGTTGTAACACCCGACACTCCTCCTCCCTCTCCTCCCCCTCTTCCTCCCTCTCCGTCTCCTCTTCCTCCTCCTGCCCTCATCCCGGACATGTCGTGATAATCCTCGGAGTGACCACAACAGACGGCCGAGTGGTCAGTGTCGGACAAATCATCATCATCATCATCAACAAACACGCTGAGGGCCGAGGAGTACCTGCTCTCCCCGTCAATGACATCCCCCACACAGACAGTCCCCGCGCGATGTGACCCATACCCCACACAGACAGTCCCCGCGCGATGTGACCCATACCCCACACAGACAGTCCCCGCGCGATGTGACCCATACCCCACCTCTCTATCGCTGACAGATGTACTGAGAGGTTCATCGTCGCACCAACCATCATCATCATCATCAGCAGCAGCAGCAGCAGCAGCAGCATTATCACCGTCGTAGTCGTCCGCGCCATCCTTCCCATCGTCATGTCCACCATCCAGCAAGCTGAGCGCCGAGGAATACCTACTGTCTCCACCCAGGCCCTGGGCACACAGGTCTCCCGTGCTACGGTCCATCCACCCCACGCCCCTACAGCTACTGTCCACCCACGTGTCTTCCACAGATACCGCTCCGTCTTTCTCGCCAACACAGACAAAGCCACCATCCTCATCATCATCATCCAGATCATCGCCATCACCATAATACAGACCATCGCCACCACTATCATCATACAGATCATCACCACCACCATTGCCCCCACCACCACCACCATCATTGCCCCCACCACCCCCACCATCACCGCGGTCATCATCATCATCATCACCCAGCAGACAGAGAGTCACGGCGTGGCAACTGTGTCCCCCCAAACCCTGGCCGGCACGAGGCGTCACAGAGCGTGAGTCTGTCGTTACAACACGAGGCGTCACAGAGCGTGAGTTTGTCGTTACAACACGAGGCGTCACAGAGCGTGAGTTTGTCGTTACAACACGAGGCGTCACAGAGCGTGAGTTTGTCGTTACAGTATGAGGCGTCACATAGCGTGAGTTTGTCGTTACAACACGAGGCGTCACAGAGCGTGAGTTTGTCGTTACAACACGAGGCGTCACAGAGCATGAGTTTGTCGTTACAGTATGAGGCGTCACAGAGCATGAGTTTGTCGTTACAACACGAGGCGTCACAGAGCGTGAGTTTGTCGTTACAGTATGAGGTGTCACAGAGCATGAGTTCGCCTCCGCCGGCCCTCCCTCGTCACACGACAAGAATATGTCCTCGTCCTCGTCCTCGTCCTCGTCCTCGTCATCATCGTCGTTGTTGTCGTTGTCGTTGTTGACGATCACAGCCCTGAAGCAGTTCTCCTCCTCCTCGTCCTCCTCCTCCATCTCCTCCTCTTCCTCCACATCCTCTTCCTCCACATCCTCTTTCTCCACATCCTCCTCCACCTCCTCCTCTTCCTCCACCTCCTCCTCTATCATCGCGAAACAAAACCTTCTCCCAGACACAGAGGAGGAGAAGCTGTACACGTTACCGACATCCATTCTTGGTTTGGTTGGTTGGTTGGTTGGTTGGTTGGTTGGTTGGTTGGTTGGTTGGTTGGTTGGTTGGTTGGTTGGTTGGTTGGTTGGTTTTGTTGGGGTCTTTGTCTTGCCTTTCTTCGTTTTTTTCTGCGTCCGAAAGAAAGGAAGAAGCCTGTGTAGTGAGGAGGAGTGTAGTAAGGAGGAGTGTAGTGAGGAGGAGTGTAGTGAGGAGGAGTGTAGTGAGGAGGAGTGTAGTGAGGAGGAGTGTAGCGAAGGTGAGTGAGGAGGAGTGTAGCGAAGGTGAGTGAGGAGGAGTGTAGCGAAGGTGAGTGAGGAGGAGTGTAGCGAAGGTGAGTGAGGAGGAGTGTAGCGAAGGTGAGTGAGGAGGAGTGTAGCGAAGGTGAGTGAGGAGGAGTGTAGCGAAGATGAGGATGCCCTCCTTGTGAACAGTGTCCGAGTGGAATATTTGCCCGACTTGCCACGGCACACGGCCACCTCCCTGACACGCGTCCCTGACACACCTCTCTGACACACGTCCCTGGCTTGCCGCCCTACTGCCTGGAGGGATCTCCCGACCCTTTCAACACGTGTAGGATTTTTTTAAGAGGCGGGACATCCGAATTGAACGTCTGCCTCCGAAAGGACCGAGCCAAATGAGTTGAGAGCCTTGAAAACTCCGGGAAACCACCAACGTTCAAGATGCCCCCAGTCTGGGATCCGAACCAGGGACATCCAATCCGCCGTCCAGCGTGCTACCGACCCAGCTAAAGGTTGGCCCTTTGCACAACTAGACTTTACAAAAACCACGCAGGACGGAGACAACACTTCACCGAAATAAACAAAAGAGGTTTGGGAGGGTGGGG